GCGTGGTAAGATTGAGTCACACATTGTCGGGTGTTATGCTGGTTATGATTCTGATGGTCTTACCCAATGATCCACAAATATCAATGATGCACACCTGGAAGTTGCTGGGAAGGGTCAAAGTCTGGCCAGTCGCCTTCATCCAAACGCATCGTGGCCGAAAGAATCAGCTGATCGTGGTGCGAAGCTCAGTATCTCACGTCCACCAAAAAAAGGGGGCACAAAGCACTCGCGCTCAAAGGAAGCCTGGGCTATTAGGAAAATTGCCAATCATCGACTTGTTTCTACGCTGTAGCAAAAAAAGGAACACGGAACATGACATCAACTCCTCTCGGACCGGACAGCTACAGTGATATTCTGGGTCACGCCCTTAACATGTTTGTCTTTTGCATTGTCGCCTGTGTCCTTCATAGCCAAAGTGTGGGTGCGGCACAGTGTGACGTTTGCAACATGGAGTTCCTAAGGACCCCGCCTCGCAGGAACTGAGTCCATGCGAGCTGCGACCACTTTTCGTGTGGAGACCTGCGGCTGTCGCTCAAACCTTGAAACAAACGTTCCGGTAAACAATTGATAGTGGGTGTCCTGCCACTGATTATATGTATATAACACAGCTGGGTGCATTCACAATTCACAAGCATGTGTGGGTTGGTGCATGTTGTGCTTCGGACTTTTGAGATGAGTCCAGCCCAATCTTTTGAGTTTGTTCCATTCGCTCAGGTTACAATCAATGTTGCACGAATCGTTTGGGCATGTTTCGGCCACGGATCCAAATTAGCCTTAGTTTCTGTGCCTTGATGTCTGATATGCCTGACTGTGAATGCCTTAGAACCCTTGAACCTGACATCTGGGGCGCTGGCTGAGATCTGCATGGTTGGAATATGAAGGGAAGATACTCGAGCCTGCAAGTTCAGCTCTCTCTTGACAGGATGTCTGCGCAGCGGTCAAATTTTGCCTTTGATCAGCACATCATGCAAGAAACATAGAAACATATATAGACACATCACTCAATCGGAAGTTTCCTAGAAGACAATGATCCTTTGGCTCCTGAATGTGTTCATATTGTGATGGTGTCCTGCAGGTTTCGTTCTAGATAATATGGACTAAAGGATACTAAGGGCAGAATATCCGGACATAGCACAGCAAACCCAAGCACGCACGCAAGTAGCACAAGCTGGCAGCCCAGAAATGATGCGGGACTAGCGGAACTATCATTCAAACATTGATGCTGTGTTGAAGATTAGTCGGCTTGTGTTTGCTTCTCCTTTTTGGAACCACCTAATTACCGCCACCTACAACCAAATTCTCTATTCTCTATCCTAAGTCAGGGGACATACAGTAATTACTGCGGAAGTAGGAACACCCACGCCTCAACTCGCAATGCCGCTTCCCCCTCAAGCCCAGCTTCAATCTCCACCTCAGTCGGCCCAAAGTGTCCAGCAAAAAAACACAATGTGGGCCATTGCATAAGCTCCTTTATTTTGGAGAGGTCCACAGACTACAGATCCTAATCATTGGTTCTATATACTATATACATGACTTGATTGCATTGGCTTGTCTGCTGGCACAGAATAGCGTCCATATACACAGTCTGTGCGAGCTTCAAAAAAGCAACAACTCCCACGGGCTTGAGGCAGCAAACCTCAGCACTCTGACCTTGGATCTGAGATACTAATTAAACCACCTGAGATGCTGGCCATATCTCCTGTCTCCAGAAGCTGCACAGAGGTCCCTCCCAAGACTTCCACCTTGTATCGCAGCTGTTTAGTCACCTTTCTGTGATTCTCTATCGCAGTCTATTGCAGCCATTGATCAAGCCTTAAGCTGCGATCGTGGCATGCTGAAAGTGAGCGGCACCCGCCCATGGAGAGGGACCTCGAAAGGGCTTGCTGCACGTTCTCAGGCAATATGACCCAATTCTGGGCTCGGCACCAAAATACGTGGGGAAGCCGTGCATGGACCTGCTTTGCTGCTTCACAGTTCCAGTTTTGGACAGTTTTTTGCGATAATTATATACTCTAAATATTTGAGGAAAGCCTGCGGGCACCAGCAGCTGCAGTTCAGGCACTACAGGCAGGACAGCCTTCGCCTGACAAAGCACAAGGCATGTCATAATCGAGTCAATGCACAGGATGACCTTTATGGTGCTGTACGTGCTGTCTTTGCTGTCCCAAAGGAGGATCTGTCCCAATCATTCCTTTTTCTTTTCTTTGTTCGTTGAGGAAATCAACATCCGGTCCTTTCGAGCCATGCATAGTTCCGGTGACACCAAACCACTCCAATCCCAGGCCTCCAAGGACAAGGTCTCCCATCCTCTGCCCAGGGGGCAATCGGCTGACACCCAAACCTCCAACTGCTCTGGGCTGGTGGAGTTGGCGCGTAAGTCTACTGCCAGTGCCTCACGAGGTTAAACATGAAAGCCCTAAGCCCACCCCTCATACACTCTCATCACTGATCCAGTTGATGCAGGAAGAAGGACCAACCATGACTTCCCGCAGCAAAAAAAACAACAAAAAACCTTAGCTCAAAAGGCTACATGAAACTACCCGAGAGCTGTTTGACACGGCAACGGACACCATGGTTGGTCTCATTGAGTCTGAGGCTAAGACCCCAATCCCCACCGGCGTCAACGACACCGAAGGGTCTGACAACCATTGGAAGGTGCAAGAGACCCCCAATGCGGCAGCTGCATTTGCTGCATCGCTGCCGGACATACCATCAGAGAGCGCCAACTGCAATGCGATTTGGCTTGCGGCCTGGAACAACTTGCAAAAGTGTCATCCACATTGTCACACACAGTCCCTTCTTTGTACGACTTCTATGTCCTACTGGTTGCAGGCCTCTGTTGCCTCAACGACAGTCTTCTCCATGTCCAGTGCATTCATCAAAAGACTCTTGCTCTTTTGGTCGCTGGTCAAGGGGCCAGCCTCAGGCAGCATACAAAAAATGGGTCAACCCACATGAGTGGAATGTATCAAGATGGTCTATTGAAGGGATCTTCCCTTCACGACATCTCAGCAAATTGCACGTGTATCTGACTTTTGTTGGCGGAGCTTTCGTTGTTCGTGGTTGAGATAGCCTGACCTATGGGTGCTGAAGGAATGTCTTAATCCTTGAATGCAATGAGTCAGGGCGTGAGCGAAAATACAAGACCCACCTCATGAGTCTAGAAAACATCTTGGTGTCCCCTTGATGCTGCAATTTGACCATGGATATACAGTAATTCCCAACTTTTTCTCAAGAAAACACGCACAAGCAAGACCGGTCTTTACAACTTGATTCTTGATCTTTACAGGAACTCCTTGCAGAACAGCCTGCAGCTACTAGGAGTGCAAAGGGAAATTCAAAAGGCCTTTTGCCGTGCGAATTGAAGCAAACCATGGCGTCCAAAAGCACATACGTTGAAATATTCCTGTATGCCTGTGGCCCATGGTTACTACATTGAAGGCGTGATGCGTTGACCACTACCTACTATGCGATTCTTAGTTCCAATCCTGATGGAACTCAGCGCCAGTTTGTGCAGTATCGATCACCGCCGCACCAGATCTGGCCATACCAACCATTGTAGCACTGGACCCAATGCCAGCAATGACGACCACCGCCGCCGCCGCCCCAGCGTCGCCGTGAATCTCCGCCACCCCAGCGCCTCCTGCCATCACCATTTCCCGGCCGCCTCCGTCGTCGACCCCCAGACTTTTCCTGCGCTTCGTCATCTCCATTCTTTCCGCTCTCTGGCTGTTCCTCGAAGACCACTCCGGCCACTTCGGGATCCTGAGCTGACTTCAGATTTAAGGGGATACAGCACTCGCATGCAACCAATGTACTCAGTATATACAAACACATGAATTCTGAGTGTGTGCCCTGATACTGTAATCCTATTAGCCACTCAAATGTGGACTAAATTCCATAACTGGTTCTTTATCAAACAGGTGTTGCATTTTAGGGTTCTGAGCTGCACATTTAACAAAAATCCTGAGCACTCAGTCTTGGTTCTTCCGCTTCTTTGGTAAAAGCGCTGCCTTTGAAAGCTGGGACCTTGTTCTCCCCGTTCTTGGGCTGGGGCTGAGGTTCCTTGGCAACCACACCCACTTCTCCACCTGCCTTGGGGCTTTCATCCTCTTTGCTCTTGGTAGCGGCTTCTTTGGCAACAGATCCTTCTTCTCCACCAGCCTTGGTGCTCTCATCCTCTTTGCTCTTGGCAGCAGCTTCTTTGGCACCAGCTCCTTCTTCTCCGCCTGCAAGCTTGGGGCTTTCATCCTCCTTGCTCTTGGGAGCAACTTCTTTGGCAACTGCTCCTACTTTTCCGAGTGCGTCCTCCTCCTCTGCCTTGTCTTTCGACTCTCCACGCAGGTGCTGCACCTCATCTTTGCCATAGACCATGGCAAGCGCTAAAGCCAGTGCGAGAGGCAACACTTTCATTTTTGCTGCACAAATTACCCGACAGCACCACGCGTCTCTAGGAGAATCGAAGGCTTGAACTGAAAGTTTGCAGCGTGCGGAAACGGGCGGCTTGCTCAAACTGTAAGAACAAAACACTCTATGGGCTCCATGTCGCACCATCTCTTGACAACAACAACAACAAGAAGAACAACAGCAACAGCAACAACAACAACAACAAGAACAACAACAGGCTTGGCGTAGCCCTGCACTTTGCTGCCAAAGTGGCCTTGCTTCCGGCAAGCCCCAGAAGCAATGGTGTCAGCTCAATGTCTCCTTGGCCAGATTCGTTTTCAGCGCACAAACCGATACTCTCCTCACAACATGAGAAAGGCCAAATGTTCCTGTGCTAGTGTGATGAAGGTTGCTTTGACAGAACTCTGTTCTCAACAATCTTGTGGAATCTTGTGGATGTGCACAGGAAATGGTCTGGACTTGCGACGAACGATGCCACAGGATCATTAGCCAAAAAGCCTGACCAAATGCGGGCTCTGAGCCGCACAGGTTCATCCGACCCTCGAAGCAAGGCAAAAGAGGCCTCGCCCATCTCTGATCCTGGCTTGGTTCAATCATTTGAGACAATGATACAAATACACACACGAAAGGATTCTGTCACCTGTCTGTCCTGTCAAGGCATCAACAACTCCAATTGAAGCGCCACTTGGAACCGTCACTTTGATGTGGGCTCCTTCAGCTATCCCCAGAGCTGCGACCAAAATGTGGTGCTTGAGTTCCATCGGGCGACTCGAAACCGACAGTCCTGCTCGAGCAATCTCCCGACCCGAATGGTGCTCTAGAAGCCGCACAAAAAGATTGGCACTGCCAGGGTTCAATGCCAACACCAGGCCGACCTCCTTGTCAATGCCTTGACAAAGTCAACAAAGCACAAATCTTGTGGGAAAACATATGGGCGGAAAAGCGCCGTCGGCCTGCACTTGAACACATAGTGAGAATCATGAGTCAAATCCACCAGTACATCCAATACTTTCCGACTGATTCTTGTTACTAGAAGTAATGGCCTCTAACCTACTAGCGATGGCCTCCAACCTACTAGCGATGGCTTCCACCTAATAGCTTCGTGTTACTAGTTCTGATGGCCAACCTAGTAGCGTCCTTATCCTGCATTTGGACATCTGAGGCGTCCGGACTGGCAACAGCTGGATCGCTGGAGATGTAGTCAAAGTATGTCCGGGGATTGCTCGGAGGGCCACCAGTGAACGCAAGCTCGAAAGCTTGTCCCGGCATCACAACAATGTGCTTCAGCACAACGTCGAACCTATGGCTTCACAACAAGTCCGGAACATTGCATCCAACATGCAAATGTGAACGAATAAACTTAAAACATCGCAAATAGTGTGACTAGGCTCAGAGAATGTGTCTGCTTAAAATCCGAAGCAAACAGTCAGGCCGAGTCCAACTCCTTTTATTATCATCTTTCATATTTTCGCTCGCGCACATCAACCGGGTGCCCCTACTCTGGCAAGCATTCCACATGAAGGATGCGTGAATGGATTGTCCCATTTGGATAGTCCTGTCATAAGGCTTTGCCAGACTCAACAACAACGTTCATCCATCTCACTTGCGGGATCAGGTTTCCTTTTGAAGCTCTGCTCAAAACATTGCGCCCATCACTCTGGCGTCCTGCATCTCTGCAGACAGTCGATAAATGCCAGGGATGTGGCACACACACCTCCGATGTCGCAAGAAATGATCTGATGCAACCTACCTATACACCAGTAGCAAAAGACAGCACAAGGATCATGCCACCCATCAAAACCACATGATGGCTGGGAATGTATTTGCTTGGCTGCCCTCCTCTTAGACTCTTACAGGTGGAAGTATTTAGCTTCGATTCAATGGTTGTAGCTCAGAATTGGTTCCTCTCCCAATAATGAGCTATTATTCTTTCCCCAAGGGCATGCACTTGGAGGTGACAACAACTTGCTTCTTGCCGTCCAAAGCGCTCGTACTCCCCGCATCTGCTTGGACTTTCTTTCACCTCTAAAGCTCCTTTGTTCATCAGCTGCATCATGTTCGTGTGCAACCAAATAGATCCAAATAGAAATGAACACAGGGGCTTTTCCAAAGCGCCTATTTGGGTGGACTGCATCGAAAAGGTCTGTGCTGAAAGTGGTGACTCAAGATGTTTTGGCAATGCTCCTGGGTCGCTGCTACGCAAGTTCAATGCCAGAGGCACCCAGTTCACCATCCCCAACACCTGCTGGATGCACCACTTATTTTGATCAACATACGTCAACAACTCTCTCACACACACAGAATCAGCTGAACAACCTTCCACAAGATTCCACAAGATCCTGTTGTTCAGGATCCATGACAGGTGATGCATACAAACGTATGCAGCAAATTGCAGCAATATACACATAAAAGTCTCCCTGCTACACCAAGCTCACATGCTCTGAAATGCTCTGAAGCTTGACACAGAAATCCATGGCCTGGCCCTCAGCATCTCGCACATCAACTCGCAAATGCCGTTCGGTGCCGCGCACCACCAACACTGTACGTCCATCTGCGTGTGACTCCTCTGGCGTCAGACGTCAGCAACCCAAAGGAAGCACGCTTTTATTGGGTCTTGTGGGGTCAAAGACGGTCAAAGACAATCAAGTTGGGGATCACGTCCCAGCTGGCTCCTCTCCAAGCAAGCTCAAATCTAGTTGCTTGGCTGCACGGAAGGTCACCTCCAGCTGTTGAGGCCTTGTGCCCAGCAAGTCTGGGTCCCAAAAGGCCAGCGAAGCAGTGCCTGCACAACCGTGTGTTGACACTCAAAGTTGACATTTGTTGAACCAGTTTAATCTCCAGCCAATAGGGATTCTCAAAGCCTTGACTCAGGGGCAGCAAAAACCAGCGCTGAACATAGTCCGCTTTGGAGACATTGCAGGGCGATCCAACCCACAAAGCCTCATCCGACAAAATCCAGCCAGAACTTTCTGCTCTTTCTTCAAACAAGGCTGCTAGGCTCTTTGCTGGCACACAAGGCTCAACTCCATCAGCACAAATTTGGGATGGCTCCAGGACCTGCTGCTTGTCTAGAGGAGCTCTAGTAGCGTCCTTGCTCCTAGTAGCGATGCCAGGAGCCCCTAGTAGCGAACCTTGTTCCTAGTAGTATGGCCAGGAGCCCCTAGTAGCGTCCTTGCTCCTAAGGCAAAAAGCACTATTGCAAATGTTTGGTGGTTTCGTTGAAACCCCAACCCGGTCCTCTACAATCTCTTGACCGGACAGAATCTCAAGACGAGCCCGCCCGGTCCCGTATCCAGCTTCCAGAACCACTGACCTGGATGGGAGCTCTGCAACTGGTGGGTAGCATTCATTTCATGCCAGGTGGAGCATGCTCAGTTCACAAGTAGGAACAAGCAGCAAACCAGGATTTTCTTGGTTGCGGCGTCAAAAGATTGCCAAGGGACAAGTTCCTGAACATTGCGAAACGAGGCTTTTCTGGATATCCTGGCCATCGCAACTCCTCAGTCAGACGGCCAGCTGAAGTGGTGAAACCCGTGAAAGGGCGCAAAATGACTCTGATTGTTTCGACTTCGTCTTTTCCTAAACAATCCAGATGCAGGCCCTATGGAAAGGCAACTCCTGCAATGGAAGGGAGTGACCCGCATGGGCATGGACGTGCCACACCAAAAATCTCTGTCCGAACGCCGAATTCCCACTCACAGGAATCATTCTTTGCGAAGTGCAATGGCATGCATGCCACTAGATAACTTCGTACGTCTAGAACTATATAAAGCTGCTTTGGTGATACGTGGAGCCGTGAAACACTGGTTTTCTGTTTTTTTTCTGCATTCATACAGGCAACCAATGATGTCCGTATGATTTACTGTACATGTAGTTGCTTGCTTCTTGAACAATATATAGAAGTATATGTTATATATTGATGTTTATCGTGTGTCGCAATTCCATGTTACAAACGAAACAGCAACGAGGCAAATCAAACGAACAATCAATCAATCAATCAATCAATCAAAGAATCAAAAAACACGCACAAGCAAACACAAATCATTCAACTAAACGACAGTCAAAGTAAAAAAACAGTCGAAGTTCATCACTAAAAAATACTGCTCACAACATGATTCTTGATATGTTTTCAGCGTGACGTTCATATTTCTTTACTGGGACACACTAAAGCACATGCATACAAACAGCAGCTAGCATAAGTGCAAATCATACAAAAGTAATGTAATGTGAGGCCCGTGAAATAAACTATAGGCTTGACTTAGCCTCCTCAAAGTATCAAAGGCAGTGCGCAGCCGATGATTGATTGATTTCAGAGCAAAATTGCACCGCGCAAAGCAAAGCAATAACACCACTCACACAGTACAACAATGTCCAAACGCTCAACCGTTTGAAATATCCACATGCTCAACCATTTGGGAACCCACTGCGTTGGGCTCGTTGGGCTCTGATTGTGACTACTTCGATGTCATGCTATCCCTGGAAAAGAAACACACTTCCTTCTGGTTGTTGCACGAAAGCAACCAATCAACAACTGCTGTATGGTTTGAACTTGTTCTTGCAGTTTGCTGTTTTGCGCACCACAACGACACACACACAGAAAAAAAAGACATAGGTTTTTACAAAGAAAGCAATTGAATAACACTGGAAATTATGATTCTGGCATAATATTCATGTGCTCCTGCATGACGTTCATATTGTTCTCTTGCTTGGGACATACAACAGCGTAGATACAGGACATAGGTATCACGCACAAACAATATGATAATCACAAATGAACTAGTTGAACTCAAGGACTTAGCCGGCTACGAGGGCAAAGGAAACATTGAGTAACATGGAAAAGCTATCCTATTCAAATTGTCCGCGAGGTTTGCATGAGCTTGTGGTTTATTCCGAACCCGAAAAGTGCCACAGAAAGAAACATTGAAGCAAGAAGCTACTAGTAACAAGGGCATTACTACTAGTTACTAGTAGCCTCAAGCTACTAGTGGCAAGGGCTTTAGTACTAGAAGACCACCAAAATGCTGTCTGGTTGCCAACTTCTGTGCTACAACGATCGGAAGCTCGTCGCTAGTGGGAGGTGGAAGAGCTGCCAACATCTCCACCGAAGTGCAAAGGCTTGAAGGTGCCATGTTGACCTCCAGAGCAAAGCCGAGGCACGGACACGAAGAGGCATGAAAGGCAAACTGGTTGAGGCAAACTGGTTGCTTAAGGGCTTCGAAGAGCCAATTCCAAACACATGAATATCAAATGATGCAAAGTAATAAGTGCAATTAGAATATCAACTTGCCAAAGACTTGCTTCATGGATCTGACCAATGAACTTCAAGGCCAAAGCACCTCCAAACCGAGATTCGCAGTGGCACCCACTGTTGCAAACGATGGCACATGGACGGAAGCTGCAGAGATATCCTGCTCACAGCAATTGTCTCAGGATCACCCAGCTGCATTGCACAAAACCATATGATATATTATGTGTTGCAATATCAATTTACTTCAAGGAAGCGTGCCGACTCACCAGCAACGCCTTCTGGTCAACGGCAAGCCAGGCCTGTCAGCAAGGCCAAGGTTGCTATTACAGCCAAACAATGTGCAAGTCGCTGTATGCCTTCTGAAACGGAACACCGTCTTTGGAGCCCGTGGGAGATAGTGACCATCGCAGCCAGTATTCAGATGCATTCAAGATAGTCCTGCCAATGCCAAAGGTTGCTCGATGGAAAAATCCGCGTCACTCTTCCTTCCCTCTGGCCTGCCGAACGCATCAATGAACTGGGCGCGAAACCTTGTCGTGTGATCACGCCTCATTGGCTTTCAACTTGTACATCCATTGATTCAGCAGTATAATTAGGAGTTTGTGACGATCTTTCTCAATGTTTGTCAAGTTTAGGGGTGCTGCTGCACACCCAAGGCAAGCCGCGGCTCCTTGCAAAACTCGGAAATGAGACTAGATGTGTTCCTTCAAAATTTCCAAAATACCTGTTTGATTTGTTCGTCAAAAGATGTCAAAAGAATGCCTACCAACCTTGTCAAGAAGAGGCTCATGCTCCACATCGTCAAGCTCTGCTACCGCCTGCACAAGGACTTTCATATACTCTCATGGTGGTAGTCATAGAGTCAACATTTAAAGTATTTTAAAGTTAAAGCTGGAAAATCAATGCCTTTTCCAGTGCAAGGCCATCAAAAAGTAATCTTCATTTGAGCAGTCTGCTCTCAGAAAACCTACAGGTGGTCGCGATATCAATCTGTTTACCCTGGCGACCCCACCTGCACCCTGGCTGGTACAGAGCATCTCATCCACAACGTGAGGTTGTCCACCTTGTTCCAGGAAAACTCTACTCCGGCACTGGCGACAATGTGTCAGCTTCCGCACTCGATCCGAGGAATTCCGAGGAATTGGCAAACACCTTGCCGTGCATGCGGTCTGCCGGTGTGTGCCTGGCTGAAGGCAAGCGATTTGGATCGCTCTGCGTGTCGGAACATGTCAGATTGACTTGACTTCTCCTGTAAGTCGTACAGGTCCTGCAGTCTGGCTCATTGTAGCTCTGCGAAAGTATGTGGCAGATTCTACGTGTGAGAACTCGAAAACTCCACTGATTTAGTGTCAACATCGTCCGAACACGGTGTCCTGGCGTCACCTGCATGCAAGAGACCTGGAAGGTTCGAGGTCCAAGCCGAGACCTGTCAGCGACCGGTCGATCAAATCCGAAAAACGAATCAACAGCTGGAACAACATGCTTGACAGGATCTTGTCGCTTTGAGGAAGTGACACCATAATGTGAGGTCCAGCTGTTAGGTTCCAAGCTTCTCTACCTGCAAGAAGGGCTGAATCATGTTCGTCGCTGTCTACACAGATTCACATCACGCTTGAGAAGTCTTGTTGAGAAAGGTTGCCCAAAGGCATAGCCTGGCACAGTCATACTGCGCGGACCATGTTCTATGCGTAATCTGATGGAAGAGCACGGCGCCACCACCTCTGGCGACATGTGAATCTGTGGTCTAGTCGAAGACTGTTCTGGAAAAAAACTTTGTTGTTTTGTCGTGAAGGGGCAGTGAAGTTAGTCGTGACGTTCAACTGTATAAACTGTATCAAACTATATTAGATATAATATAGCGACCGCCCGAAACTTAGAATGTAGCATTTTCGGCACTTCAAAACAACAGTTAAATTTAGAATGGGGGGTCCTGCTGCGCACCTTCTAAGTTTACAGGCCGTTTTGAATTACCATGCATATACCGCTATATGGCACCTTCGCTTTATGTATATACTATATATATATATCTACACAAACTCTGTATCTGAAAAGCCTAGAAGAGATGGCCTCCAATCTACTAGCGATGGCCTTCAACCTAGAAGGGTGGCCTCCAACCTAGAAGAGATGGCCTCCAACCTAGAAGGAATGGCCTCCAACCTAGAAGAGATGGCCTGCAATCTGCTAGCGATGGCCTCCAGCCTAGAAGGAATGGCCTAAAGGAAGGCCGCGCCGCTGCCTCTTTTTCCCCTGTCTGTCCCTGTCTGTCTTTCGATGGATTTCTTCATGCAGAAGAGAATGTGCTTTTCTTTTCTTCAATTTTCTGTTAAAACGAGATAAGAATGATATATATATATATATACATATATATATATAAGAGTGATATATATATGTGCAAAAAAACGAGTAAAAAAGAGTGATTCAAGAGTGGAAAAAGAGTGCTTTAAGTGTGAAAAAACGTGATTCTTGAATTTAGTTGAGTTTCTTGTCATTTCACTCCATGTTGTCTTCATGTTCCTTTCGGTTTCCTTTCTTTGCTCTTCAAAACATCGACCAAAGTCAAGGGAAATGAAAGGAACCAGCTCAAAACATAATTATGTCACTCGTTTTTCTCTGTTTTTTGCATTCAAGTAGCCACTGACTGGTGATTCTAAGTTTGCCTACTGTTTTTGAAAAACACGCAAGTTTGCCCAGAGGCATTCCAAAATCCAAAGCCCCAGTCGCACTTGTTTGCAAATGATGGTTGTGTTGCACTGCTTCTAAGTTGTTTGGGCCGCTGAAAAAAATGGAGGGTTTTTCACTTTTTTTCACAACACCCCTAGAACTTAGAATGCACCACTGTTGGGGCATGCTAAGTTTATTTTCCTGCACAGGAGCGGTGTTTTATAGCCAAAATGTACCAAAAATGATGTTGAGGAGTTTTTTTTTTCCGAAACGGAATGGCACAAAAGTCATTCTTAGTTTCGGGCCGTCGCTATAAATGTTGTTCTTTTGTCTTATGATGTGTTGAACGGTTGCCATTTACAAACGTCAAGTTTCCACTTGCTCTTCTCTTTCAGAGCTCTTGGTGTCAAGCCAGTGCTGCTGTCTGATCAACTTCCGCTGCAGCAATTGTCTGTCAAGCTAAAGAACGTGGATGAAAACAAACATTGCCAATTCTTGTATAAACAGCTTCAATTGTTCAACATCATATCAATAATTCTTAAAGAGTGCGTAGCTCTTTGCCCCGCTGGCCTTTTGTTGATCTTTGATGCCAAGCAAGTGCCACTTCAGCGGTCTGTAGACCTGATACCACAACTGTAGTTCTAAGTGCAAACAAGAGCAAGTTCTGACACATGTTTACCATTGCACATTTGAGATCATTTGAGAATGAACAAAGGGGGTTTAGAAGGTATCCTAAGGCAGGATGGCACTGCTGCTCTAGATGTGGAAGCAAACGGAAATCAAAGTGTAGCTACCTCGAAGGGCAAAGACGTCGACGGCAGCGGCTCAGCCGCATCTGCCTGACAGTTGTCATGCACAAACAGTGATTCGCACCCGTGAAACACAAAGGAGCCCAAAAGTTTTCAGGTTGTGTTTGGGTGAGTTCAGCAAAAAACATGAAAGTATATGCAAATCAAGCTGCCCGTGACGAACTCTCCTTCTGTACCAGCATCTTTACTTTCTCTCTCACCACACTAACCGCTTGATCTACTCTGCTCGTGCCTCCTGCGCCCGAGCGGTGAGTTGAAACCTTCCAGTTGTCGATGGCCTGTTCGATCAAGAAACAATTCATGTTCAAGTTACTCTTCATCAATTAAGACTTAAAATAATTAAGCGTGAAATTGGGATAAGCACCAGCTAGGCCTGTGCAATGGCAAAAGCCATGAGCACCCTTTTTTGCACTCAATTGGGGCAAGGTATTCTCAAATGGTCACAAGCGGCCACTTCGACGGGAGCCTCCGTCCCTGCTGTCAGCCCTTCGCCTGTCGTCGTGGCGATCATCATACTTGTCATCACGCCTGTCATCACCTCGCCTGTCTTCATAGCGCCCTCTGTCATCATGGCGGCCTCTGTCATCATAACGCCTGTCGTCATAACGACCCCTGTCATCATATCGGTCATCCCGACGCCTGTCATCATATCGCTCATCCCGGCGTCTGTCATCGTAACCTCGATCACGGTCACGCGGCCTGTCATCCATCAAAGACCTGCTGCCACCACCACCGCCACCGCCGCCGCCGCCACGTGCATTGCGCCTGCCATTGCTGCGGCTGCGGCTGCGGCGCTTCTCATTGAGCAGTGCTCTGCTACCACCTCCTCCGCCACCACCTTTGCGGTCCCTTTCGGCCATGAAAATGTCCCGGCTTGTGTAGCCTTTCCTTTCATCTGCCAAATTGTCCTTGCCACGAGGCTTCCACCTTGCCTTGATGGCAACACCGTCAATAAGCACCTCCTGCCTGTCTATGGCGTCCATGGCCTGTCGTGCCCCTGAAGCATTGACGAAGCGTACCCATGGAATGTGCTGGATCGGGTCACCCACCTAGCAGGCCAGGAGTTTGCAGTGCACAAAGGCATACAGTATGGCAATGGATACCACACCATTGTTATACATGGTTATACCTCCTTTTTCTACATCCTCCCGCCTATCCCCACTATCACGAACAGTGCAACATAGTGCAACTACTACAAAGAAAAGTCGCAATGATCTGATCGTTTCAGCTTCTACTTGCTTGTTGACCGCCCTGTCCTTGTGACAAATGTCGATCTCCCCATATCGCTCCAAGACAGACTTAAGTTGCAACCGCTTCGTCCCGGCGTGGACGCCGCCCACAATCTCTATGGTGTCCATCGAGGAGCTCATTTTCGGAACGAGATAAACTAGACCAGGCACTTCCTGATTTGTCCATAGCTGGTCTTTCCAGCAGTGGCAGGTTGAGCCAACATGGCTTTTGACATCCAAAGCCTAAGCAATGAAAGCTCATCGAAGCAAGTGCACCATCTTTTGCACAACATCTGCAATGAAAAAGACATATCACTCATAGCACAAACGCAAACCAGATGAAATTGCGTCGCAACTCAGGGGTCATCTGCCTCACCCGAATGAGGTTGCAGGTGGCAAAGTCGCCTCAGGTTGCAGTTGGCGTGACGCCAACTGAAAAGGCTGAGCCTAGTGGCCAAGATGCTGGAAGGCCCTGTCCTCACAGACGCCACCTGAGGACAAGCGTGTGCATGTTGGATCGCGTGCAGAGGCCCCTCGGATCCCCTCGGCTTTGTTAGCCCCGCACTGTTCCATTCGAGACTTCGGCCACCATGCGGTCTGAAGCAAAAAGGTTTGTACCTTGAGGAAACAAACAGTTTTGTACTCTGTCAAAACGACGAGGTGTTGTGTTCCAGGGTAGTCTCTCTTGGACTTGCTTCGCCATGCAAGAACTTGCAAGACTCCGCTCTCGCGACTGGGGTTACGGCAATTCCAGAAGGTGAGATTTCCTCGGCAAAGGATAATAGTGGGAGGCAGCACCGCTAGGAGGAAGGGTAAGTAGTAAGGGACCAAAGAAAGCGCAACTTGCTAAAGTGTAGCTCACCGCTGACAGCTGAACCGGGTTTCCCCTTCATTGATCTCATGAACATGCCCCATGTAGACAATGCCTTTGGCACACTCCAATGGTCTGTTGAATCAAGGTAATTATGATTCCTCTGAGACTGAGATGTTCAAAACTTGAATTTCCCTTCAAGCTGTCATTAGCCGAGCCGAGTCAGTAGTGCAAGCAAGGAACGGAGCAGTCTGCACATGGCCTCACAAACTTCTGCTGCCTCAGACTGGACAAACTAAGGTGTTCCGTGATGACAGCCAGGAGGCGATCAAATCTTGCTGGAACCCCAAAAACCATGTCAAACGAGCTATAGAGTCGTCTCTGATCTTGCTCTTGAAGGTCAAATTGTGGAGTTCTGATGAGGCATGAGGTGCAACTAATTACTTGCTTTTCAACTTGACAAGAAAACGGGGCCACCATAGGCCACCCATTGAATCTGGCTGTTTGGGGTTCCCTGCATCATCAGTACCATCTTCTGGCCGCGCCCGCACCAGCACAGGCTCCTCATCTCGACTAAAAGTCCGGAGCCTGACCTTTACCGCATCAAATTACAGTAACAACCGCAAATCCCAAAAACACCGTTGTATTTGTGAGCTGCGACAACCTAAGGGCGGGAATTTCCTCGTAGATGTTTGGTTCGTTCCTTTCATGTTGAAATGGAAAATGTTGGGTATTAGGTATTAGGGCAGTTTTTTTGCATCTTCTAGGAACTGCTGCTGCAAAAGGGGTTCGCTTTGGTGAATTGTCTGACTCGCTCTGCAGGGCAAGGTGGTTTCTGCACAAAATGTGTCTGCTTGCAAGTTACTGTTCATTTACTCGAATAAAAGAATAGTATTATATATATATACCTTATTCCTGAAAGCACCTGCGAAGGGTTTCTTCCAAAGGACATCTGCTCACATCATTTTCCAACATAATCTTTATCATCATCGCTACTATCACATCATCATCATCATCATCATCATCATGATCATCATCATCATCAACATCATCGCCATCGTCATCATCATCATCATCATACATCATGACATAACTAAAAACACCTACTAAGTCTCACCTACGAAAAACACTTCTAACACTTCGATTCGACTTCTTTATAAGTTTCTTTCTACTCTTAAGGCGGCGGGCAGGTCCGGCCGGAGCTCACGAAACGTGACCCTCTGCGAGGATCGTGCGTGTGGAGTGCTCAAGCGTTTGGTGAAACGTCGATCGCGTTTGAGCCCGAGCGACCCTCTGCGAGGATCGTGCGTGTCGAGTGCTCAAACGTGTGGTGAAACGTCGATCGCGTTTGTGCCCGAGCAACCCTCTGCATGCGGGGATGGTGCGCGTCGATGCGTGACTTTTGGAGGAAGTCTCGTGCGAAGCGCTCGTTTTGGAGACTTGGCGCTTCACTCTTGGAGGAAGTCTCGTACGAAACGCTCGGTTTGGAGCTTGGCGCTTCACTCTTGGAGGAAGTCTCGTACGAAACGCTCGCTTTGGAGACTTGGCGCTTCACTTTTGGAGGAAGTCTTCTACGAAACGCTCGCTTTGGAGACTTGGCGCTTCACTTTTGGAGGAACTCTCGTACGAAACGCTCGCTTCGGAAACTTGGCGCTTCACTTTTGGAGCTGGACTCAGAAGTGGCCAGGTTGTAGTACAAATGTAGTAGGGGAAAGAGCTTTTCGGAGCTGGACTCAGACGTGGCCAGTTTGTAGTGCAAATGTAGTACGGGAAAGAGCTTTTCGGAGCTGGACTCAGAAGTGGCCAG